ACGCAGAAAACGCGCTTGAATCGCGAGCCGTCGCCGGGTCAGGAGGAGCTGAACCGGCGTGTGGAAGCGTTTATTAAAAAGTTCAACGAAGAGATGAGATTGCAAAGACTAGAATCTTTGGCTAAATACAACGAAATGGTAAATGGAGGGACTCGTTTGTAAATTATTTTCGTAGCTGTCAATGAAACACGAGAAGAAAAGGACGGCACCGGCACAGTCGCAAAAGTTGACTCTTTTTTAGAACCACTTACGGTTTTTTTTTTCTTCCAGGGATCAAATTTCAGAACGATGTTTTAATAAGTAGGAAGACAAAAAGTGTGTACTGTACTTATGTGGTTTAGAATTAAGGATAGATAATATGTGAACAATAGTGACTAGTGATCGAATTGATTGTTTTTAATATAAAGTTTTTTACATTATAGACAATATTATTTATATACTGTTACAAACACTTTGTTTTTGGCAGAAATAAGTGTGTGATTTTTATGTGCTTTACATGACCATAGTAGCAGCAGGGAAAAGCCTATCCAAGAAAGTATACAAACCTCCTCCAAGTAAAAGAGCACCACTGAAGAAAAACAAAGAAAAAACGAAAATAACCAAGATTTAGTGAATTAACCATATGAAATTCGTTAGATTATAGTCATTATGATTGGGATGCATATAACATACCTTATGGGGTTGATCCATACAGAGACCTTTCGCAACGAAAGTAAGCTCTGAAGAAATTCAAGAGAGTAAAAATATGCAGATTCTTACACAAAACTATTAAAACATAAATAGAATGTGTTGAATATTAAACACATGTTACCTGTAAAGCTCCAGCAAATGTAGCAGCGAGGATGAGTGGCGCAACATAACCTGTTGTATACGTTAAGAGTAAGCTTCCACCGACTATTGGATCCTGCGTTTCATAACCATTGCATAATCCATATCGGCTTTTTGCTAAAACTCTTAAAAATTTGATAACAACAAAGTAGAAAGGTTAAATCATATTCATAGTGTTGGGGTGACAATATTTCGAATGGAAAGAGATAAAATGGGATTACCCTGGAAGTAGCTACATAGCCAAGAAGGGTGGCTAGAACTGGAGTACTACAAGGTGAGGCAGCAAGTGCGAATGTGAGACCGGCTAGATATGCTTGTACACCTAACAAATTTTGTTTGTTACTTAAGTGTTACAAATCACATCCAAAAAAAAAGTATCAGACGGTTTAAGGTCCAAAAACTCATAAACAAATTTCTCTTAGAAGGATTACTTGATGGGAAGTTTGCTGCTGCAGCACGGGGATCAAAGTTGTTAAAGAAAGATGGAAGCTGAATCTCGATTACCTGTAAGAAGAGAAGAAACAGATTGTGTTAGAAATGGAAACAAATGATGCAAAATGAAAAGGAAAGCTATTGTAAGAAAAGTACCTCAAGGAGATTGAGACCCATTACAATAGCCAGACCTGATGCAGCCACTGGTAATCCTTGCCCTATTTGTCCATAGGCTTTTCCTGCAAAAGAGGCTACTATCCCAAGAAGTGCTAAAGTAGTTGCTAATCCCAATGAGAAAGCAACTGCATCTCCAACAACCTAAGTGCATAGAAAGTTACGTATTTGTTATAAGGTACGAGTCTACTGTTTCTTCGAGGGAAATTTGATTTGTCCTAAAGAACTCGGCTTTAACTTCTGATTATACTACAATGAAAATGAAAACGACACAATCAACGAACACAACAGCTATTGTAGAAATCTGATCTGGAAAGCCATTAACCTGAGCTCTGCTTTTGCCAGACCCAAATGCACCTATATGTTTCAGCCATATTAAGAATCAGTGAGGAAAGAATCAGAGGATCAAATTATTCTAAGAAATGTAAATTCTTGAGACAGGTTATCATACCAATATAACCAAGTGTCAAAGGCAGAACACTGAGTGTACATGGAGAAAGACTTGTCACAAGTCCTGCCCCAAAAATTACTGCCAAACTACAGCAGATTTAAATTAGCAGGAAGGTCAAAGAACTCGATGGTTCAACTCTCAGAAATGCGTGAATTGAGAGAGAACCAGAGAAACAAACCTTGTTACACTGAGAGCTGATAGCTGATCCTGAACAGCTTCATTTGCCTGTTGGTTAGCTGAATACAAGAAGTTCCCAACCGAATCTCCTAGGTTTCCTTCAGCCAAGTTGTAAACAGAAGTCGCTTGATCCTGTCTTAAAGAGGAAATTAGGTTCTGATTTTACAAGCAAACAACAAAAAGATAATTTTCCAAAGTATTCAGATTATGATGCGGAACATAACTAAATTAGCCTACAGTAATGAAACCCAACGAAGAGATCACAAAAAGTATGGAAACAATCTAAAAAAATCACAATCTATGATTAACCTTACCAAGATAATCATCTGCAAGTCTGCGGCCTTTGCTGAGCTAAGAGTTACCAAGTTTGCCACTGGAAAAACCAAGATAAAGTCGATGTATTCATGGCAGTATATAAAAAACACGAGCCATCCGAGAACATAACGAAGCATAATTTGCTAGTTTTTCCAAACACTTCCTAATGAACTACGCTTTTAATACACTTAGATTCTTCTTTCTGACTACAACGTCATCTCAAGACACTCAGAAAGGATACACGCCACAGAACAACGATCGGTCAGAATATCCAACATGAGTTCAAGAATTCAAAAGTAAACGGATATTAACAGATACAGATTTCATCTCATCCGGTGGAATGATTGAATATTAAGAAATTCTACACTTCCAATAAAAGAAAATTTGTCCATAGGACGCAGTGAGAAGAGAGTAACATTACCTCCTACTAAACCACCACTAAACATGGCAAGTTTAACACTTTTTCCCTCTTTCTTCTGTAAAGAAACAGCATCAGACCCTAAACTTTTCCCTCTCTGAACCTCACAATGCTTAGCAACACGAACCAATCTTTCCTCTGTAGTCCACAGAGAAAAACCAAAACTCAACAATGGCTTAAAATTTCCTGAGTTAACAACAAACTATCTCATTTCTACTACCTTTCATGATAACAATCTAACCATTTGTGCGAACAGCGAAACCCAATTTCAAATCTCCAGAGAGATTACTTTATATACTGATTCAGAATCGGATTTCAACATACGCAAATTCCATCGCTAATTTTATGAAATCAAGGAATAAACTATGCAAACGACACATCATCTTCGATCAAATCACTCAAAAGAAAGAGAAAAAGAAAAAACCCGAATCAGAAGAACAACTAACCACCACGACCATGATTGAGTCTGCAGCTGGAGAATCCACCGACGAAACCACCGGTGATGCATCGGTTCACACTCAGATTCATCGCAACTCCAGATAAGTGCCCGTCGTCGTCTAACGGTCCTCTCGCTTCAGATTTTTTTCTCTTTTTATTAGTCATATACACTGATGGGCTAAATCTTTTGGGCCCAAAGGGCCAATATACTAGTAATCGTTCTTTCTAACAGTCCAACTAAGAATTCCTAGTTCTCAAGAGATAAATCTCACACACACACTAATGTGGTTAGGAGACTATGTTTAATCTGGATAAACCGATCTGGTACGGTCAAAAACCGAATTGAACAAAACCATATATAAAATTGAGACATTTACAAAAATGCCACTTTTTGTATCCACATTTTCAAAAATGCCACTTCTAGTGTCCATTTGCAAAAATACCACTAATTATGATTTTTTAGAGCCTAAATCTTAAAATTCTAAACCCTAAAATTTTTTTTGACCTCTTGAACCCTTAAAATTAAACTCTAATACAACATAGTTAACCCAAATATAAATGATATAATGAATAAATAATTTTGAAAAAATAGCATTTTTGCAAAAATTGTAAAAATGTTGCATTTTTGTAAAGTGACACTTGAAAAGTATCATTTTTTGAAATTCTCTATAAAATATTGTGTGAATGCATTTGTGGTTTTCTATCCCAAAAACAGAATTTGAATCACAACGGAAAAAAAACAATGTGTAAAACCAAAGTACTTTAAAAATTAAAGATATGTTTAGCTAAAATATGAATCCTAATCGAAATCGTACTAAAACATCTCTAATGTATTAAAAAAAAAATTTGTATTCTTTAAGTCAAAAAATCAAGAAAACCAAAAAAATCTAACCGATATTCAGAATAAACACCTCTAATATATACATTTAACGGGCCTTATCTTATATTTTAAATCTCATTATACTATCTAACAACTAGAAAATGCCTAGATGTTTTTACACTTTTTCTAAAAAGTAAATTTTAGTATTGTGATTATAAAGTGATAAATGAGTGGGCTAGTGAGAAATTTCAAAAGCATAAACTCGATTGTCATTTTCTATTTAGCTGATTTTACCAAACTTTACAACAAAACCAATTTTATAAAAGACACTTTGGCCCACTTTAGGTTATACTTTATATCACTCGCACGTATTAAAATCAAAAGTTGTGGTCGCACTGATTCGTGGGGACATTTTTAAGATATGCATGGAATTTGGGGAAGTCTTATCCAACATTTTAGTTATACAAAGGGAACGTTACAAATACTACATGTTCCTTCCTTAATCAAACGTCTCGTTTCGGTTTTATAAATTTCAATAATTGTTCTTTTTTAAAAAAAAAAAAAAAAGGTTCAATAATTGTTATTGATTTCATATTAAAGATCAAACGTAATTTTTTATCAAGCTAGCAACTAAGAGAAAGTAGAAATAACGCTAGCATCTTTGACTCACATGTAGCATGTGATAGTAGCTATACCATATTTTTAATGAGAATATCTATATGATGATGCGTATAACTTAATCCATAATTTTTAGAAATTTTTTTTTGGTCGTTTAGTGTTTATCGTCGTAGGCTAGGGCATGTAAGATGTTAGTGCAGAAGAATCTGCTGAAGCAACAAGATCAGTGAAGCAGTGAAGAGTTCGTGTACTACACAGAATCTGGAAGAAATAATCAGCAAACTAAGGAGAAAAGTCTTTTTGTGACTAGGCACGCCAGGTGGCACCTCGAGTTGGGAACCGCACTACCAGGAAGCGTACGCAGGAAGTCGAGTTCGGGAAATAAGGAGGTCTGACACAAGTGCACAAAATCAAGGTGCAAGTGGGATTACTTACTGTTGACCAAAGGTTGATGGGACTGGTGGTCTGACATCAACATGAACAGTTCTGTTGCCCTTTCGGATTAAGGGGGAGCTGTTTTTAGGGCTATAGGAGTTGCTGGTTGCTACTACTATAAAAAGAGGGGGGATAGTTCATATGCCGACTAGTTCTTCCGCAATAGATCTTTGAAGAACTCAGAAACAGTGAGAGCTATTTGATCTGTTGTGTTGAGTGAAAGAGATATGTTTCATAACTGTTGTTACGTTACATTGGGTAGATTAGGAACACGTTCAGGAGCGAATCACGGTGTGTGTGATGTCGCGTAACTCTGGGTAGAATAGGTTGTGGGATCTGTTCTATAGAAGTGTTTGAGTAATCTATCTGTTGCAACAACTGTATCGTGTATCAGCTGTTGTGCCTTGCGGAGATAGCAATAAAGATTGTGTGTTTTTATTGGAAACTATATGTCTCTTGTTCATATCTCTGTTTTAGTATCTTGTGCAAAGGTTCCTACTTTTTCAT